CATGCACACACACGCACACACTCAAACGTGCATGCACACACATGCACACTCACATGATTACGTGCATGCACATAATCCTCTTCAAACACGTGCGTGCACACACACCTCAAACGCGTGTGCATGCACGCACACGCACACACAGTAACAGCGCCGTTGCCCAAAGGGCTTGCACTGTGGCAGGAAGACCACTAGTGAGCCTCTGGGGACAGTGGGAGACGCTAAGGGACATAGGGACTGTCTGCTGTGCTCACCGCATGGTGTCACGGTCACACACGCTGCCACGTAGCAGCGCATCTGCCGCCCGCCTCCTTCCTGTGCCTTTTTCCCAGAGTACCTGGTTTCCACTGAGACAGTTTTCCATGAAAACGGCTGAGGGCTCCAGCCCCGCCGCCCACGGGGACGGCCGCCAGCCACACTGGCCGTGGGCTCCAGGAAAGGGGCGAGTTCCAGTGGCGACGAGCTGCAGCCGAAAATCCTCGCCAGGTGCCCCGGACGTAGGACGGGGAGAGACACGGAGCAGCTCTCGATCGTTCGTGTCCGGGTTGCATGTTGAAACAATACTGCGGGTACATTCGGTTAATAAAATACGTTATTAAAACCAGTTTTACCTGTTCCTTTTACTTTTTTAATGTGTCCACTGAAATTTTTAAATTCTGTAGGTTGCTTGCACCTAGTTCCTATAGAGAGCCGGGGCCTAAGGCTCCCGGCCCCCCGGGTCCTGGTGTGACTTGTACGTGTGTATGTGTGGTATGTGTGGGGTATGTGTGTGATGCGTGTGTGGTTCCCACGCACCCCCTCAGTGCGGACAGCACCCTTGGGTCCTGCAGTGTCCAGGGGAAGCTGGCTGCCAGCTGCCCACACAGGGAGCACCCCTCCCCCCGTGAGGCTGTGGTACCCGCGGAGTTAGGGCTCCCGGGTCTGCCATGGCCTTCACCCCGGCTTCTGCATCCCTCTGCGCCCCCTTCTCTCCCAGGCCCCCGTAACGCACGCTGCCGTTTGGTTCCGCATTGTCCCTCGTTGCAGGAAAATTATGGGCTGTGTGGTTTTGCAGCCCGGACGCCCGTCTGCTGGCCGCCGGCGCTCGCCCGCTCGGCCCAAGGCTGCGTCGAGCACGTCTGCCCCCCACAGCGGTTCACGTTCAAGTTCCTGTTCCCTTGCCGTGGCTCGTCCCTGGGGTAGACAACTGTGGCCATGTCTGAGGAAGGGAGCAACCCCTCCAAGGCCCCTTCTGGGGTCAGCTCAGCCGAGGTCCCTAACTCCCTGCCCTGCAGGGGCACGGCTGTCCCCAGGAGCCTGCACGGCTCAGAGCCAGCCGGGGCCACTGGGAGAAGGGACATGGGGTTCACACGGGTCCACACGCTCCCGGACACGCACTGTCTGCCGCCCGCCCCCGCTTCCTGCATGCTCAAGCCCTGGCTGGCAGCTAACTGCCAGCTGTCAGGTCTCCGCAGGGCTCCCGGGGGTCATGGGAATGGCCCCACGTGCGGGGCAGGGCCGGGGGGGGAGGGGTGTCCCGCTTGGCGTGAGACAGCCCGGGACCTGCGGGCAGCTCCTCTGAGCGATTCTCCGCGTTGCTCAGGGCCCTGGCTCAGCCCTCGTCACCGCCGCGCACCCGTCACCAACGAGACCGTTGCTGTTTGTTCTATACACCGGCTCCCCGGGTAAGGTTCGGGACGATGAGAAATGTCTGAAGGAGGCACTGTGCAAACACCGTCAGCCCTGGGCAGGCCCGGCCTGCAGCGTGCGGCTCCCCTGGGAACGGGCATCTCGGTGCACTGCCCCCACCCCGGGAAACCCGTGAGGACTTTGGGGGGGTGGGAGGCGGATCCCTCCGGGCCCCTGCCTGGCCGCGGGGGGAGCTGGTCCTCGCCCCGGCGACAGCCCGGCTGCTCCTGCGAGAAGCAGGAGGAATCGTTCGACCTGAGCGCCCTTGACGATTCAGCCCCCAGCAAAGGGGGGCCTGGTGGCCGCGGGAGGGAAGCTGAGCTGCTCGGTGGAGGGAGGTAGGAGCGTCCGGGGGTGGGGGTGGGGGCCGTGCGCAGGTCTTCTGGGGGCTCCACCCGCAACAGGCCGGGGCAGAGAGAGCCCAGCAGGGCCCGGCATCGGGGGGTGACTCAGGGGAGTCCCCAGGCAGGCAGGAGGACGGCGGGGGTGGCTCCCCGAGACCGCAATGCTGACGCCCTTCCCTCTCCCCGTTCCCAGCCCACACCTGTCCCCGGGGGCAGCTCCTTTGTCAACAGGTCAACAGAAACCGCTCCTGTCACACGTCCCCGAAGGCGGGACCCCGAGAACCACGCGGTGGGGACGGGCGGCCGCCCTCGCTTTGCTCAGCTCCCCGCTCCAGCGAGGCCCTGCGGGGGGCGTCGGACCCCACCCGGCAGGGAGAGGCCAGTCCCTCAGACACGAGCATCTTGTCCACGGCCGCAGGGCGCTGATCCCACAGCTGGACCGGGCCTGGCATGGCCGGGCTTCCGCCGTTCGAGGCCCAGCCTCGGGCGGGTCCCCTCCACGCCCAGACAGACAGCCGGGGCTGGCATGTGCTTTGAGCTGCCGAGGCCGGACGAGAGCAGACCTGCCCGCCTTCTTCCCAGAGCAGGGCGGGTCCGCTGCCCTTTGCCAGGCAGGCGGAGCGGTTAGGTGAGGCTTCCCCCGGTGAAGCCGGGCCCAGGGCCGAGCAGAAACGCTCCCCTGCTTCGCAGCTCACCCTCCGCCCGAGGGAAGCCTGGAACCCTGGCTCATCCCTCCCGGAGCGCAGGATCCCCAGGAGCCAGCACGGCCGGGGGCAGGAGGGTGTGTCTCAGGCTGGGGGGCGCCGCTGGCAAGGGGGTCAGCCCTGTGCACCAGGCCAGGCTGGATGGAGCCAGCGGGACGGGAGGGAGGGACGGGGAGGAAGGAGGGAGGAGACACGGCCGAGCGCAGGAAAGGGACGAACACAAGGTGGAACTGGCCTCCGCCCTCTGCTGTCCCTCAGAATCCTCTTTGTCACCTTTAATTCTGCCGCGAGGAGAAGACTGGACCCCACAAACTCCCCACGAGGGCAAGAAAGATAAGCCCCACCTCCGGCCTCAGCTCGGCTTCCGGGCAGGACGCACACACTCTGCTGCCCGTTTTTCCCGCCCCCCCAACCCCGCTCACTCAGGACCCCCGCTAAGCGTGCCTGTCCGTCAGCGAGGGCTGTCACCTGAGCCTGCAGAAGCCCTCGTGGCAGTAAACCCGGCATCTGCCCCCTCCCCTCCCCCACTCACCCCGACAAGCCCAGGGGTGGGGATCCTCTCTAGACGCTCGGAGCACCCCAATCCTGCACACGCAGACGGAGCCGCTTCCTCGTTTGCATCTTAATGTCCCCAACGACAATCACGAAGGCTCGTGTGAGAAACCGAAGGAGGATGTGGGGGAATTCGGGCTAATTCGAAACCTCGACGCATTATACCGAACTGCAGAAGCTTCACGACGAGGCTTTAAAAAAATAACGGAAATCAATTTACCGCGAGAAAAGTGCCAGATGGGAACGAAACGCAATCCTGGCCTTTTCTGTTTTAGCCACGGTTTAGAAAAAGCAAGAAAAGTCCCCTCCTCCTGCCCGAACCTGCCTCAGCTCGGGCCGGGCGGGACCTCGCTGAAGTGTCACGTCCATCCGGCCACCCACTCGGCCACCCACCGCGTGCACCAAGTCCCGTCCCCTAGACGTCAGCTCTGCCCTCGAGGGCACCCGCGGGCCACCGGCTTGTCCCAGCTGCTGGCACCATGTCTACGGGCATCACCGCCCTGGCTGGGAGCCACAGCTGACCCCGCATTGCAGTCCCGAGAGCCCGGGAGCCTGCACAGTGCCGAGACGGACGGCGTCAGTCCTGGGACCTCGGGCAGAACGCCTCTGAGCTGCCGTCGGGGGTCGGGGGGAGAGCACCCCTGGTTCTTCACACCTGTCACTGTCCCCCACCCCCCAGCTCGCACGCTGCTCCAGCAATGGCGCCCACACCAGGCGCTCTCATGCCCGGCCCTCTTCCACCCTCTGAAAGTCGGGGTGCCCCCGGGCCAGGCGCCCCGCCTCTACTGGGCCTGTTCTCCACTTAAGACGAGCATTTCCCCGCAGGGAGACCACGGGCAGGCCTGGCCCCCGCTCGCCAGCCCAGGCGGCCTTCTGTGAAAGCGCCCGGCCTGCCAGGCTGCGGGGCCTGGCCACACGGACGGCTCCCTGGCCAAGGGTTACGTGCGATCCACACGGGTCCACAGCGCACCCACCTCCCCCCAAAACTGCGTCTCTGGCCTCGTATTTAACAGCCGATTCACTCTGAAAACAAATCCCAACCATCTTTGCCCGTGGCCCCCTGCCATGCTCTGTCCCATTGCTCGGGCAAGGGGACGGACGCACAGCCTGTCCGCATCAACGCCGAGCTCCAACGACAGGGGGCCGGGGTGGACCCCGGGCTGGAGGGGCGGACCCCAGGCTGGGGTGGACCCCGGTGGGCTGGCCTCCCAGACGCTCCTACAGACTGTCTTCCAAGCAGAGCTGCCAGATTTAACAAAAACAACAGGGGGTGCCCAGTAAAATCTGAATTTCAGATAAACGGCGCATGATCTTAGGATAAGTATGTCCCACACTGCGCGGGATGCGCTCATACCAGCGCTGAAAGTTACTTACTGATCGTCTCTGACTGGAATTCGCGGGGCGCGGGGCCCCCTGCGTTTCAGCTGGCACCGTCCTGCCGAGGGCAAGTCCAGTTCCGTCTCCTCAGTAAAATCGCCACTTCTGCTGAGTTTCACTCTCGTATGTTATGAAACCGGTGAGGTTTAGGAAAATGATATTGACCTTTAAACTAGAAGGAAGAGCCACGTGGTCTTTGCAGCAAAGAGCTAAGTTTTCCCTTTGACCTTGTTCACCCCCGACCTGGGTTTGGGCCTGCACCTCCCCCACCCCTCCTTGGCTCGGCAGCAGAACCAGGGCCCCATGGGGAACAGAACCAGTGAGGACTTGCTTCTTCCCCAGCCAGAGGATTCGGGGGCCGAGACGGTAACCGTGCCGGCGAGGTGACCGTGACCTCAGCTCGGCCGAAGCGTCCCGGTTCTGCTTTGGCTTGGGGGCAGGCTGGACTGTTACCCTCTGGCCAAGCTTCCTAGTGCCGGATCTGCCAGCGAGAGCCTGCCGTGGGCTGGAACAAGTCTCCAGGGACTAGAGAGGTGGCAGAATTAGACGCCACGGCCGGCCTCAGCCGTCGGTGCCCGGGGGGAGGAGCCGCCCACACAAAGCCACGAGCATGGCCCCGACCTGCAGCCCGCTGCTCCCTGCCCGCCGGGCACCGCTCTGCGAGGCACGGGCCGGCCACCTGTCACCTGCATGTGCTCCAGCCCTCGGATGAGCGTGAGCCCACGGGCACGCACGGAGGGCGGAGGGCTGTCTCTGCAGCATCCTGTCATTGAGGGACCGGCTTTAGTGGGGCCACCACAGAACCTGGGCCCCGGAGTCCCTCTGCCTGCCGTTCTCACCTGGGGCTCCTGACGCCCGAGGGGTTCGGCTGTTGACTTCTCCCAGGTGTGTGGAGTAGAGCTGACTGAGCTTCGTTCTTGGGAAAACTGAGACAATACTCTCTCGAATGGTGTCCTGTAAGCTGGGCTCCTGCCACGACCTTGCTGGGTGCAGCGTGGCTGAGGGGGTGCTAGGCCCTCCGCCCTGACAGCGTCCTGCCGGGTCCCACCGGCATCTGCGGTGGCCCCGAGCTCCGAGGAAAATGGCGGAGGGCTGGCATCTGGCAAATTCCTCAGTTAACGCAGCGTAGGGACCTGACTGGGCTTGTCTTCGGCCTGCCCTCGGGCTCAGACCGCTCTGGCTTCCTCCTGGCGTCTGCTGAGCACAGTGCCCTTTTCTAGTGCTGTTTGGAGTGACCTAGACCTTTGCCACAAATGGCTACGGATGGACCCCTTTAACAACGCCATCTGGGGAGTCGCAGGCCGGCGGGCGCCGCTCTGGCGTTGCCTGGGGCAGCAGCCACGGCCTCGAACCTAGTAAGGTTCACAGCCCGATGTCTCTCTGTGGCCGCAGAGGACGAGGTGTGGGCGTCCCCAGGCCTGTGGGTGGCGTCTGTGACGGGCCTGCTGAATCTGAGCCCAGCGGGTTTCGCAGTCAGGAGGCGTCTTCTGCATTCGACGGGCTCGGCTGGCGTCCGTGAGTCCAGAGGCGACGCTGCTGTCTGGCCGCCCGTTGACTCGAGGACGATCTGGGCCCGGCTGGCGCGAGCAAAGGCTTGGTCGTCCTGGGCCGGAGCCCTGGGCAGAGAGTGTGTCACCCAGTTCCTCCGGAGCCTGCGAGCAGGACAGGCGTGAGTAGCCCAAAGGCTCGCTGTGGGGGTCAGGGGAGGGCCGCCTTGCTCCGGTGAAAAAGGCGACCGTTCCGTGGGCCCCCGGGGAATCCGGGTCACGAGGATCGGCGTCCGAACCAATTTTCCTCAAATGTCACACGTCAAACGCTCACCGGCCGCGCTTCTCCGGGTGTCCCTGTATCCCTGCCCCCTCCCGATCTCCATGCCACAAAGATCTGCGACGCATTTTATGTCACGAAAGACGACCGTCCTTATCCGGCTCCTTCGGGGGAAGACGCAACTCGGCAGCTAACTCCAACCGGCGGTAGACGTGATTCATCAGTCCATCGCACCAGCCGCCCCATCTCTGCGGCAGGTGTGCACTCACCTGCAAAGTGCCGTGGGCCGAAGCATTCTCGGCTCCTCACAGGCCAGCGGCCCACGCCTCACGGTCTGAGCTTCCGAGGACCGAACTCACCAGGCTCCGAAGCCTCTCTCCCACGGTGCCCGCTTCAGTGTGCGGAGGGACACTTCTGCCTGTCACCAGCCCAGACGATTCTAACTGGAGGCGCTCATGAGACAGCACAGCCCCCTCTGTCTTCAGCACTGAGGTTCTGGCTGCTGGACACAGTGGCCTCCTGACGGTCACGAGCCATCCTTGGGATTTGCGGGGGGCGGGGGGTGGCGAGGAGGCAGGACGTGGAAGTCGGCCTTGCACACTGTCGGCTCTTACTCCCTCGGCGGACACAGGCCTACCCTGCCAGGTGACCGTGCAGGAATGGGGACTCATGTGCGTCTCCCTTTCGACTGGCTGTGGCCAGGCGTTCGCAGGTGACAGGAAGACTCGGCGCAGCTTCTCCGCGTTTGTTCTCACGTGAGCGCAGACCCTCCGCGTGGCGTTTGCCAAAAAGGGCCTCGGCCAGGTGGCCCTCGTATTTACGGAGCATTAAGCCATGAGCCAGCTGGTTACACGCCGCCGTCCCTGTCCTCAGCGTGGCCCGCCTGCCCCCCTCAGTGCGCCTCGCGCCCTCTGCTCGCTTTAAGTCAGCAAAGATGCTGCAGACTGTGATCGCCGCCTTCTGCGACTCGCCTGCCGATTGCTCCAGTAGCTTCTTTGAGAGCCAAGGACTGTCTGCAAGGCAGGGCCGGTGAAGGGAGAACAGCTCCGGGACAGGCGCGGCTGAGTGGCCTCGCGGGCCGGGGCTGTGCCAGGCCCATCACGGGGCGTCCGCCTGCCTCCCGGGGGCGCGTGGGGCCTTCCACGTGACTGCCACGTGCGGGCACAGGGTCCACAGGAAACCACCACTGGGCAATTCCTACTGTGGAGATCATAGGGTTCTCGGCTGTTGATTTATTTTTGTATTTTCCAGAAGCAGCATGATGGAAAAGAACGCTCAGATAGTTGACCTCAAAGCCATTTTAAATTAGGCTTTTATTAGGTTTTCTGCCACGGATCCATATCTAAAACATTAAAATTCCATGAAAATGGGTTTTCTGCACATGGCGAGCTATTGACGGATGCAGGGTTGCGAAGACCGTCGACGCCGGAGTGTCCCGGAGCGTCCGTAGAGCAGCCAGTTCAGCTCCTAGCCGGAGACCTTCACGCCCAGGGGGCTTCTGGGGGGTGGTGACCTGCGCTGGACAGGCTCTCCTGGGGACTCTCCCGCCCAGTGGAGACTGAGAACCATTCAAATGCTTCGTCACCCCATCTCCTGACTGGCCGAATAACAAAAGCACAGCAATGAGCTTATCACTTTAAAAAAGGCTTTTAAACAGAATAACAAAAACCGTTCTCCTTAAGGGAAGCCCAAATGAAGAACGTGGAAAACATTTAGAATATGAATTTCTTCAGAACGAACCACTGGTCAAGAAAGACCTCATCAGTCCTTCTCTTCGGGTCCCCAAAGCCAGTGCCACTCCCCTCCTACCGCAGAGGTCTCTCTCCAGTGGCTCGAGGTCTTGAGGTGCAGGTGGGGGTGTGGGGACGGGGGTTGGGGAAGGGCATGGCCCAGAGAGAGCTGCAAAGTGCCCTCTGCAGCTTGCCGCCCAGAAGTGGCCCGGTCTCCCATGCTCTCTCCCCGCACCCCCTGACCCGTCCTCTGTCCCTTTGAGTAAATCTCTCTTCCCATTGTCCTTTGGGTCTCAAAGTCTCAAAAGCACGCCCCTACTTCTTTGCGTCAGTTGGCGTTCTGTGCGTGCGTGCGTGTGTGTGTGTGTGTGTATCTGTACAGAAAAAAAGAGGACATTTTTTTTTATTTTAAGGTGATGACTCACACAACCGTGGGCATGATGTAGCCAAAACCTGCAGGGCAGGTGGGCAGGCAGCGGACCGAGAGAGGGGTCAGTGTCGCAGTTCACATCCGAAGGTCGTCTGCTGGCAGAATCCCCTCTTCCTCAGGAGACCTTTTTTTATTAACCTTTTTTTTTTATTAACGCTTCAACTGATTGGACGGGGCCCACCCACACAGCAGAGGGTGATCCGCTTTTCTCAAAGTCTGCCGATTTCAGTGTTAATCTCATCTAAAAAAAACAGCTTCAGAGAATCACCTGCAATAATGTTTGAGCCACTTTCCGGGTGCTGTGGCCCAGGCAAGGTAATACGTAAAATCAACCACCATTTCGCCCCGGTCCATCGGATCTGCAGACGGATCCACCACTTCTGAGAGCGTCACAGCTGCTCCCGACCACGTGGCTATCATCCCGGACGCAGCGGCTGCATAGAGCAGGTTTCTCAACGTTTACGACCTGGGTAGGTGTGTCCTGGTTGTGACTGATGGATCCAAGCGAACGTTTCTTGCACGTTCTCCCTTTTCCTTTCTCACCGGTTAATCCTGGAGGGGTGGAGGTCATCTCTGTCGGAGAAGTTGTTTAAGTCAATAGAAATTTAGGGAAACCAAAAGAAACACATCTCCATTTTGACAGAACGGTGCGAGGATTTGCGGGGGTCAGGGTCCCGGGCTTTTTGATCACCATCCTTTGTTTATAGGCTTTAAAAGTCTCTGTCGGTGACGCAAAAAAGCCTCTAAAAGCAGAAGGATTAAAGACGCGGGTTATAAAGACTGGAACAAAACAGACGGCGTGGCTCATGACGGATCCGTGAGCTCTCGAGGATATTAACATAAATAAAAATTCATCGCGAGAAATAATTACGTTCCCTAGCGCGGCCCACCCTCTAATCCTCCTGGCGCTGAAAAATAATGGGAAGGTTAACGCATTTCTCACATTTCTGAGCACGTTATTATTTCCTGCTTACACGAAAATTACATCAAAGCCATCGTTTGGAATCTGGGAGCGGATGACATAGACTAGACTCGGATAAAAGCTTAACCAAAATAGAAAAGCGATCTGGCATCGCTGACAATATTGTCACAAAAATATTACATTTTAGGGAGAGAATTTCTCGGAATCCAATAACAAACATGTCTAGCTGCTAAATTGAGTCATTTGCATGTCGCGGCAAAGTGAAAATACAATCATCTCATTTTTGCTGCCTAATAGGATTGCTGGGGGCGGGGCTGCCGACGGCCCTGGCTCCCCGCCTGGTGCCCGGCATCTCCCCGCCTGGTGCCCGGCATCTCCCCGCCTGGTGCCCGGCACCCCCGCCCTCCGTGCGCCCCCCCCGCCCTGGACCTTTTTCCTTCTTTCTGCTCCACCTTTATTTTCATCATTATTCTCCATCCCACACTCTGTTCTTCCCTTTTCTATGCATTTCTCATTCACCCAGAGCGACTCCGGCTGACGGCCGTGAACTCCTTCCCGGGTATTAGCAGAGAGAATGAACCATCGGTTCTCGGCCTTTCTCTTGGGGGACCTTCTTCTCCCGCCGAGTCTGGTGTTGTCGTCAGAGTTGCTGCCATTTTCCTGGCTACCTCTCTGCAGGTCGGGTCCGGAGGGTGCGTGGACAGGGCCATCCACGAGGAGGGGCAGAAGAAATCCCGCCGGGTCCGGCCAAAGGCGCAGGGCGCTCGCTGAAGTCGTGTGGACACGCACGCGTGTGTCTTGGTCACGTCCTCTGTTCTGCCTAAATTATCTGATCGTCACTAAAGCCATCGGGACGGAATGGCATGGGGGTGAGGACGGACGGATCGGACATTGAACTGCCTGGGCTCAAATGCCCGCTCGTTCGAGAACATGAAAACTGGACTTTTTTCTGTTCCTTAGTTTCCTTATGTATGAAATATAAATAAAAACAGGTCTTCACTCATGGCGCTGCGGGGAAGATTAAATAAGGTAATGGACTCGAAACACCTCATAGGCCACGTTGCACGGCGTGTGCGCAGCGCGTATGACCCTCAGGCCACACCCCCGGGAGTGTGACAAATACCCCATTTCTGCATTTGCTAATAAATCGGCCTCCTCTCCCTGGCACTTAATTCCACCTCACATATTTGGGGGTTTCCCTTCAGATCTTTTTAAGGTTCCAGGGTCACGTGATGAGCCGAAGCGCTGACGGTGGCCGCGGGTCATTAGGACCTGCGAGGGTGTCCTCTGCCCCTCCCATCATGGGCTCTCCCGGTCCAGTGCCTCTTCAGACGGCGCATCTGGGGAGAGGCTGGGAACCTGCCCGACCCAGTGAGCTCATCTTTGCCACTTCCTCCTGCCAGCTTGCCGCGCCCCCGAGGGCAGCCGGAGCGGCCCTGCCCCACACCGCACCCGTCCCACCCTCCCGCGGCTTGCCCCATGTCACCTTTTTTGACATCAAGAGCCTGTTTGCCTCCTGCTTCTTCCAAGTTCCTCCTCTCCTTCCTTCCGCCCAAGGCCTGGTTCTCTCCTTCTGCCTCTGCGGGTCCCCTTTCTCCCCTCACTCAGTCCCTCGCCGACAGACCCGGGGCACCCCGCAGGCACGGCGTGCCCCCCAAGTGAAGACCGCGGGGCGCGGTCCCCGCCCGCATGGCCGGGGAAGGAGAAGCTTTATCACCACGGAAAGGAGCCTCGGGGGCGACCCCGCTGACCGACCGCGGAACGCTTCCCCACCGCGCGGTGTCCCCTCCCCGTCTCGCCACGACTGTCCTGTCTGGGTCTCATTGCATCCCCTCTCAGCGTCAGGACCTTCTCTGCTGCGGCCCGGCCATCTGCCGGCGTCCACTGTCACCGGGGGGCCGTGCCCGCGTGTTCGTGGCCCCCTGCAGCCTTCCGCCCTGGGCCGCCTCCTCGCCTTCTCGGAAAAGAGCGGAGGCCACCGCGGTTGGTCCACTGTCACCTGTGAGCGGACGACCCCCGCCTGCCCTTCAGCTCTGCGGGGACCGCGACCCTGCCCGGCAACGCTTCCTGCGCCCTTCACCAGGAGGCGGGGTGTATCCTGCCTGCGGCTCCGGCTGACCCTGGCCTTGCCTTGGAAAGTGGGGTGCAGGGGGCGGCTCTGTGGCAGCTCCGCGGCTGGGTCTCCAGGGGCTTTGCACACGGAGCCCCATTCTCCTGGGACAATGCCCACAGCCGTCTGCAGACTAGGCCGGGCTCGTTTGCTGACCAGGGACGCTGCTGTCAGCCGTGCTGACCACGAGGCACTGCCCAAGGCGTGACTGAGGCCCGCTGAGGACAGCCAGTCCCGCTGAGCCGTCCAGTCCCGCTGAGCCGTCCAGTCCCTGCTGATCCGTCCAGTCCCGCTGCTCCGTCCGCGGCCAGGTAGCCACCTGACCGAGCTCGGCCCAGCTCAGCCGGCCAGCAACCTGCGTCATGAGCGGGAACAAGCACTCGTTGCCTTCAGCCAGTGGGTTCGGGGTGAGGTCGAACCTCTCTTCCGGACTCTGTCTCGCGGGTCCGATGGCACACGGGACGCCTTCCCTCAGACGTCCCAGCGTCAAGTCCGAAACTGACCTCAACATGCATCCCCATCCTCACCCGCCCCCACCCCCTGACGGTGGACACCTCGGTGGATACCGAGGACTCCGGGCAGCACCCCGGCCCCCAGGTCCTCCCCCGGACCCCGTCGGTCACGCGTCATCTCCCTTTCGAGTGGGTCCCCGCCCCTCCCCCTCTCTCCAGCGCCGTGAACTCTCAGCCGCTACTCTGGTTTCTCGCGCCTCGAAGCTCGCTCCCTGTCACTGGCTCTGCTTTGCCCTGAATCTCTTTTCTATTTTAACAGGGAGCATATTTTCAAAAAATTATTCTGAACATGTGACTCACCCGATTAAATTCTGTAACGGCTCAAAATCCTTCGAAGAGGCCAAAGTCTTCAGCCAGACTCCAGAAGCCTGACTTTCGTCCGCCCGTGAGAAGCCATCGCGGGTTCCTGACAGCCCTGGCTTCTGCTTTGAGACCTGGAAGTCGCACGTAGGATGGCCTCCGGGGGAGCCGTGGGCGCCGGGGACAGACAAAGACGCGCAGATCCGGCCAGAGGGAAGGGGTCTTGGCTGGACCGCTGGCCGAGGGCGCCTCGGGGTTCACAAGTGCAGTTTCAGAAGTAGGTGGTTCACAGGCTTCGGTCCGATCGGGTGTCAAGGGGGAGAAGGGAAGAAGGAAAAGCTGCCCATGCCCGCCAACCAGGCCGAGGGGTGTTTGCGAAGCCGTCATCTGAATAGCACAGCAAAGAGGAGGAGTAAGCGGAGCGAGGAACCGGCCGGACGGAGACGCCGGGCCGGAGGGCGGTCCGAGCCCAGCCCCCGCTCGGCCCGCTGCGCCGCCGCTCGGCTCGGCCCTCGGTCCACCCGGCCGCATCTCTGCACGGGCCGCGTCTTCTACCCAGCTCCTCATCCACCCGTGGGCCGCTACCGGCATCCCGCAGACTGGGTGCCTTACGGACAGCGGAAACTTATCTCACAATCCTACAGCCTGGAAGGTCCGAGTTCAAAGCACTTCCCGGCCCGGTGCCCGGTAAGGACCCGCTTCCCGGCCCAGAGCTGTGACTTCGCACGGACCCCACGTGGCCGAGAGCCGAGAGGAGGAGCAGACCCTGCCTCTCCTCATCAGGGTGCTAGTCTCATTCTCGGGGGCTCTGCCCTTGTGGCCTCGTCACCCCCAGAGGCCCCGCCCCCAGCCCCGTCGCCTTACAGGTTAGGGCTGGACGTGTGAACGGGCGGACACGGGCTTCCAGTCCACAGCGTCGCTCGTTATCCCTTACGTTACTTTTTAGGTTACAGATGTTGACCCCGTGGTCACCGCGTGTCAGCACGGGGTCCACGTGGTACGGCGGAGCTGTCCCCACGACCCGCTGGGCCGCCCCCCTCCGTGCCACTCATCCCAGATGCCCTCGTTACCTCCGGTTCCGCAGCCAGCGGTCGAGACGAGATGACAAGTCGAGGAGCTGTCCCCAGGCACCAGATCACACGCTCAGCTCTGCGTCTCCCGGAGCCGGCCGTGAGCACGCGGTAAAGGTCTGACGCCTTGGTGAACAATAATAATGACGCTATAAAACAGCCAAATAGATTCGGAGTGGTAAAATTTTATCAAAATGAGCACTAAAAGCACCATCTTCATTGTTAAGAATTAGGGATGTCATAAACTCGAGGCCCCTGAAGTTAACTAGGAGAGCTGGGCCGGCGGGGAGGTGACATGGGGGCCAGGGGCTGGCGGGGAGGTGACACCGGGGCCGGGGACCGGTGGGGAGGTGACACGGCCACAGGAGCATGCTGTCCTTCCGAAGTAGGCCTGGAGTGCAGCCAGAGCTCATCGTAGAAGCAACTTGGGGACAACAGTGACACTCGCAGACCAGCAGACCACGTGGCCCAGAGGACGAAGTGGCAGGTGCCGCCTGCCGGCCCGAGGACTAGAATCTGTTCGGTGTAGGAACCTTAAATCTTTCGATTTCTTATAGATCATGGGAGACACGAAGCTTAATGCACAGTCTCAGCAGCATCAATTGGGAAATGAAAGTTTTACTTAACGGAGAAACTGAGTAACACTTCCCTGTAATCTATAACATCTTACTCACTTGATCCGCCCTTGTCGACGCTTTATAAATTTACTGATATTAGGTCTAGTTTATTTAAAACACACACATCGCTTTTTAAATTCCCAAATAACCTTACAAAGTAATATCATTCTTTTTCATTTCACAGAGAAGACAGTGGAAAATCGAGAAGAGGCTTCCGATGTGGTCACGATCGATCACACATTAGGAGGCAGCAGATTGAAATGCGGGCAGTTCTCTCAAACACGGTCATTTATCGCCTCTAAACCAAAGTCACTTGGGGCCTTGGGTAACCCTGACAACCAAGCCAGGGACTCTGCCCTTCCTTTCAAGTTGAGGCCCAGTAAGGATGCAACTGCCTTATTTTTTTTTTCTTTTATTACCAAACAGCTCTAAGTCCCATTTTGACTTATTGCTATTTCGCCCTCACGAGCCATTGGAATTCTTTTGCAGAAATGAACAAAATCTAGTCGAGAACCTACCAAACGCGACGACGTCTTAGCTTTAATGGAGCTGGGCTGAGACCCCAGCCCTCTGCATAATCAGCATTTTCCCTTCGGACAAGTCACGTCACCGCTCTGGGCCCCCCGTCTTCAGCTGTGGGCATGGTGGGGGGGTCCACCAGAGATCCCCGAGCTTGAAGCAAGAGCCTCTCTGAACCCACCTGCAGGTGCTCTATAAATATGTGTCCTTTTTTTTCAAGAATAACGGTTCTTATTACCAAATAATGTAGTAATCAAAACAGCATGGCGCTGGCATAAAAATAACACGTAAATGAATGGAACAGAATAGAAGGCCGGAAATAAACCCATGTGCGCCGGCGAATTCATTTACAGCACGAGAGCCAAGAATATACCATGGAAACGGGAGAGTTTCTTCAGTAAATGGTGTCGGGGAAATTGGACAATCACATGCAAGCAAAATAAAACCGGAGCACTCTCTTACACCATACACAAAAGTTAACTCAAAGGAGATTAAAGATTCGAACGTAAGACCCGAATCGATAAAACTGCTTGACGAAAACATGCGCCGTGAGCTCCTCGACGATTTTCTGCATCTGACACCGAAAGCAAAGGCAACGAAAGCCAAAGGAAACGAGCGGGGCCACATCAAATTAAAAGCTTCCGCACCGCAAAGGAAACTGTCGGCGAAATGAAAGGCCGCCCCACCAAAATATTTGCAAATCATGTATCTGATAAGGGATTAATATCCGAACTATATAAAGGACTCATACAACTCAATAGTGAAACGAAACGAAACAAAACAAAGCCACCAAACAATTTGATTTAAAAAGTGGGCAGAGGGTCTGGATAAACGTTTTTCCAAAGAAGACATTCAGGTGGCCAACAGGTACGTGGAAGGCGCTCGGCATCGCCCATCGCCGGGGAGATGCACATCAAAACCACAGTGAGATGTCACCTCACACCTGTCAGAATGGCTGTCCCCAAAAAGACAAGAGATAACAAGCGTCGGCGAGGATGTGGGGAGAAGGGACCCCTCGTGCCGTGTTGGTGGGAATGTGAATTGGTGCAGCCGCTACAGAAAACAGTTTGGAGTTCCTCAAAAACCATAGACAGAACTACCACGTGACCCAACAATTCCACTACCGGGTATTTATCCGAACGCAACAAAAGCATTGCTTTGAAAAGATCTATGCACCCCCATGTTCACTGTAGAAGTATTTACAATAGCCAAGACATGGAACCTACCCAAGTGTCCATCTGTGGATAAAGAAAATATGGTACGTATATACAATAGAGTATCATTCAGTCATAGAAAGAAGGAAATCTTGCCATTTGTGATAACATGGATGGACCCTGAGGGCATTACACTAACTGGACTAAGATGAGAAAGACACATGCCACCTGATCGTTCTCATATGCGGAATCTGAAAAAGCGAACAAACAAAATTCTGAGCTCACAGATTGGTGGTTTCGGGAGGCAGGGGTGGGCTGGACGTAAAGGGTGAAGGGGCCAGAAGGCACAGACTTGCAGTTATAAAATAAATAATGCTGGGAGACGTAATGCACAGCACAGTGACTGTTAATTATACTGTATTGTATAGTATACTCGAAAGTTGCTAAGAGAATAAATCTTAAACGTTCTTATCACAAGAAAAAAAATCGTAACTATTTTGATGATGGGTGTTAACTAGACTTTTTTGTGGTGATAAGTTCTCAGTCTTTACAAATATCACATCGTTACATCGTACACCTGAAGCTACATAATGTACGTCAATTGTATCTGAATAAAAAAATAGCTGTTCTCTCTTCTCTAAATAGGTTACTCTTTTCCCTTCTCTCAGATGTATATCACTACTAAACCGATTGTCTACCTGGCAGCCACCTGAAGCTATGTCTCCATAAAATATCTTGATACGTCTCCTTTTTCAAACTGTGTAAAAATACTTCTCGAATCAATTTTAATAAATTTTCGAACATCCTTTGGCCCAATTAAAACATTACTTATCAGCAAATTTCTCTGTTGGTTTACTTTTGAATTTTAAGTCGAATTGAACTGGATTATAACATAAATAAATCTGCTAATAGAATATTATATTTCTTATTCTCCAATTTTCCTCATCCTATATGTCTGTCTGTCTGTCTGTCTATCTACCTACCTACCTATCATCATCTATCTATCATCTATCATCTATCTATCTATCTATCTATCTGTCTGTCTGTCTGTCTGTCTATCTATCTATCTATCTATCTATCTATCTATCTATCTATCTACAATCAGTTTGGGTTACATATTTTTGGTCACTAAGAACATAGTTGCAGGCTTTATTTGTGTTTTTCAGTCTCTACATATTAGCAGTTCCAAGGCAGAAGATGGAAGATATCTTACTTATTATAATTTTATTTTTTGTTATCTTATGTGTTCTTTATAACTGATGAATATGGAGCCTGAAAAAAATCTTTCAACGAAAGATGATAATCTGATTCCTAGGATATGGAGGATTTAAAATTCTCTGCCGCACGAGCATCTAGAATATTTCTCTTGATTGTTTTTCTTTGTCCACGGTGTTTAAGGGAGACGGTCTTTTCCTGTGTCGGGGCCTGCCTGGGGACTGCAACCGGGAAGGGGGTGCAAGGCTGGAAACGTGGAGGCAGCGTGAACCCTGGGGATTTAACCTCGTAAGCGGCTACGTTCACTCCCAGCTCCCGAGAGAGATGTCCCCGAGCCCCTCAGTGGCACAGCCCGGGACAGCTTTGCCCTGGGCTCTGGTCCATAGTGCCCTGTCACCCCTCCGTGTGGCAGACAGTTCCCAAACGGGCCTGGGCCGTCGGAGCATCTTGGCCACAAAGCGGGCCCAGATTCAGCCGCCGAGGCTGGATGGTTGACACGGAGCCACGGGGCCTCGGTACCCAGCGGGGCAGACGGCGCTGGCGGAGTTGGGTGCATTTCTTCCCAGACCCTCACGGGCAGCCAGGCTGGACCCTCGCGGGCATCCGGGCCACTATGCGCCATCAGATCCGAGACCAGCGTGTGAATTCCCCCGGCTACAGCCGCAGCTGGCTGAATGCAGCACTCGGTCCGGCCGCCTGAAAAAGGGACTTTCCTGATTAAAGCCCCCTTCTCGGGGTGGCAAGCGAGATGCCACCAACACGCTCGGCCTGAGGGAGCCCCTGGGACACGTGGCCTCCTCCTTCCCTCCTTTGTTCACGGGAGAAAGAGCTACGTGGAGGGACAGACATTAAGATAAATGACCTCACACATCGGGCCGTGTTCGCATCTGAGAACGAACGAAAGGTTAACCCGCGGCCTCGCTGAGCCGGTTACATTATCAATCAGTCGCTACAATGTGTCTTGGCTAAACGGTAATAACCCATAACCCATCGTTAGGGCGCTGCCTGGGGGCGTGCGGCGGCTGCCATGGAAACGACCCGCAGCGAGAGCTGACCTTCCGTTTCCCCTCTGAGGTACCATCTCGTCGGACGTAACAGGACGTTCAACACCGGGACGGGATATACACGTGTGTGTGTGTGCGTGTGTATGCGTGTGTGAGCCCGTGTGTGTGCGCACAGTGTATACACGTGTATGCATGTGTGTGCGTATGCACATGTGTGCGTATGCACGTGTGTGCGTGTGTGCAGTGTATGCACGTGTGTGTGCATGTGTGCGTGTGCGCATGTGTGTGGTGTATGCACATGTGTGCATGTGTGCGTATGCACTGTGTGCATGTGTGCAGTGTGTGCATGTGTGTGCGTATGCATGTGTGGGTGCATGTGTGTGTGCGCGTGTGTGCGGTGTATGCACACGTGTGCAGGTGTGTGCATATGCACGTGTGTGCATGTGTGCACTGTATGCATGTGTGTGCATGTGTGTGCGTGTGCGCGTATGTGTGCGTGCACACAGCACGATTAAAAAGCCGTCTCCAATAAGCCACCAGACATCATTCCCCAGAGAAACCAGCGAGACCACCCCCAGCTCCTCCCAGACCCCCCAGTGCGATGAGCCAGACCCGCTCCACGCCCGGGAGGCCGACAGGT